ACTCAAAGTAACTTTTACATTATTAATGATATTTAAACAAAAATTTAACAAAACGCCATATTTGTATATTTATAGATTAAAAATAATAGAAACTGGAAATATACATATACAGATTTTTTAAATTTTTATTTTAATATCACTGAAAATGTAGAAGTTATTTTGAGTTTATAATTATTCATAGTACTGTGGCTGATCTCATTTAGCTGAGTCATCCTGTATATTAAAAAAAAACTTAACAAACTATCATATTTGTATATTTATGTATTAGAAACAGTAGAAAATAGAAATTTACAAGTACGATATTTTGTTAAGTTTTCGTTCGAGAGTCAGTAACAATGTAAAAGTTACTTTGAGTCTATAATTATGCACACCACTGTATATCGATATGTGTCATTAAATTAAAATTTATATACGCGTCAAATATAAATGAAAATTATGCATTTTGTGTGTGTGTGTGTGTGAAACGAAATTAATAATTAATATAATTATAAAATAATAAACATAATTATAAGACAATATTTTATTTATAATATCAGTCTGTGACACATAATTGTCGCTTTCGACAGTCTGACCAAAAAATGTTTCTAATAAAAATTAATCAGTATCTAGTCGGTTACATATTGAAACCTAAAAAATTTCAGAAACTGTTGTTTTTCTACTAAACGTCAAGGTCACCTTGACTTTTTAAAATGGTACCTTGTATTTTTGACTTCGTAGCGTAATTGGTGATGAAAAAATGAATTCAACGACCCAGTATGCTAAGATCTTCAGATGACCTTGACCACAGCCATATATGTTTGAACAACAGAGATAGTTTATTACAAATTTTTCTTGACAATTATGTTCTCTGAATCAATGGAGGGTAACTCTAAACCAAAAACACAAATGTAACACCAAGTGTAACGGTTAATTTCGCCATTATTTAAAAACTTCTTTTTCATGTTATGTTGATATTTGCAATTCATCGTAATTTGCTTATACGATTGAAATTGTGCTTACAAGAAAATGGATTACACTTCGATTACCTATTGTAAATTGATTGAAATAAAATAGCTATCGATATTAACGATATTAACCCTAAATTACTGAAGTCAGAGTCATCTGTATGTCATAGTATAGTAGGTCATTGAGTTTATTTTTTGATTAGCGATAACACTACGAAGTAAAGAATATAGCGTGCCATTTAAAAAAAGTCGAGGTGACCTTGACTTTTAGTCGAAAAACAATAGTTTTTGATATTTACTATTTTTCAACATATAGTCACCTAAATACTGATTAACTTTCATTCGAAACATTTTCTTGCCAGACTATCGATAGTGCCTGAAAAATCGAGGCGACATTTACGGCATTTCCTACCTGACGACCGACATTGAACGCGGCCGCAACCTTTAGGCCCATCGAGCCGATGGCCATTGGTCCTAGAAGAAACAATCGGCCCAATTTGGAAGATCCGACCCCAAGCAAGCTGCCTTCTACCGAGAATTTGAGTTTGTCCAACGGTTCCGTCTGCAGATGAGCGCAGCCCAGCATCTTTGGAGCGCAAGGCGCCGAGGCGTCGACCACCAAGCAATTTCCAGCGTCGCTGCACGTCGCCAGAATCGGCAAGGAAGAATGCGAGGCCAAGTGTGTCACTGAAACCGAAACGGCCGCGATCCATCTTTGTCCGCTTTCCTCTTCCTTTTCCTCTTCCATCGTCGTCGCCGACGTCTACGTCTACACGAACCTTCGCCGTGATGATTCAACGACAGGCGACGATTCTTCGGACAGACGACTATTCCAGTTGCCGCGTTCACAACGAGCAACCGGCTACGTCGACGATCGGACAAAGTTGCAAAGTATGAGCCCTGAAGCGGAGCGATAGCAGTCGCGTCGACGACGTCGTCTCTGGCCAGTGTTTCGAGTCGTGGCGGACGATCGCGATCGCGATCACGCGACTCGCCGATGATCACCATCGTCTCGCCACCTTCCCCTAGTAGGATAATCCTGTCGCCTCGCGGATCGCTCTCCGCCCGACTGGGATACGACGGCAGCAAGATGGACCAGCTCAGCCGCCAGGACTCGTTTCGATCAGTCGTCGCTTTTCTGAAAAACTGTCGACGTTCATTGCAGGATTTGTTTGCTTGCAGAGTATTGAATAATAAATGTTAACAACCGTAAAATCTGCGATCTTTTTAAACTCAGAGCATCTGGTTCGTCATCGAGATACAATTTTCTCCTTATTCTCCTTAGAATCTCACCAGATTCTGTATACTCATAATAACTACATTAACCCTTTGCACTCGGAGCTATTTTAACTGTAAATATAAAATTATTTTTTTAACTTATAGTATTTTTATTTTATATGGCAAAATGCATTTTATGCATATGAAATTGACTGTTGGGAGTCACACAACAATTACTCTCTTAACAATTTTTTAAATCTAAACTTTGTCCATATAAAAATTATCTTAAAACGTGATGTAACAAATTTTAGTGGTGCCTCAGAGTCACCACTCGAGTGTAAAGGGTTAATCCCCCGAGTACTGTGTCCGTGTCTTTCGTCCGCGCTGGCTCAGGCCATCTCTCCACCATCATCTTCATCGTTTCTACGACGGGAACACTTGTGTGCGTTTCTGTACCTGGCTCGAAACGGCTTGAGCTGCACGCAATGAGAGAACCTCGAGGGACCGTAAATGCGGCTGCGTTAATGAAATATCGGTGTGGGTCGGAAATGATCCCGCCACGGTAACGTGCGTCCCGGTACTCGGAGGATTAGCAGAATCGTTTGCAACATGAATTAATCTTGTGACTGATTAAATTTTGATTACATGTACAGTGGTATGCACAATTATAGATTCAAAGTAACTTTTAAATTGTTACCGATAATCAAACAAAAACTTAACAAAACAGCATATTTGTGTGTTTCTATTTTCTATTATTTCGAATATAGAAATATCAAAATATGTTGTCTTCTTAAATTTTTTTTAAATATACAAGTGTGTTTTAGTTAGAGGAAGTCCCTTACATAAACTCAATGTAACTTCTACATTTTTACTGATATTTAAACAAAAACCAGAAAAGGCTATATTTGTATATTCTCATTTTCTATTAATTGTAATATAGAAATATACAAATGTGGTGTTTTGTTAAGTTTTTGTTTAACCCCTTGCCGTATTTTAACGAGTCAGCCTAATAGTGGAGATAACAGCTTATTATTAAGCTGTTAGGTATGAATGTTGTTCCGTTCCTTTAAGTCGGAATTAAATTCTATTCTCTTGTCACCAATATTTAAACACACAATACATATAAAGTTTCTTTTTCTTCTAAGAAATTATTGCGGTCGAAAAAGTTCTAATCATCGTAATTGTAAAGAAAATGGTACGGTAAGGGAATAAATATCACAAAAAATGTAATAGTTACTTTGAGTCTATAATTATTCATGCCACTGTATTACACTTTCCGACAGAATGTAATTATAGTAATTTCTCTTACATTGTCCCGCAACTTGGGAACCGAAATGGACAACTAGGGAAAAGGAGATACGATTATTCGAGCCTCGTGGCTCGTTTTTATAGTTGCCGATTATCAACGACTATAAAAACGAGGCGTAAGCCTCGAATAACCGTATCTCCGCTTCCCAAGTTGTCCATTTTCGTTTCCAAGCTGAGAAACGCTGTGAGAGAAATTACTGTAGGCCTATTTAAGTAGTCCTTTACTAGCGTTAACTGAAAAGGGCTTTAGTCCGTAAATAAATTAAATTAAATTATCCTGTTATACCTATTAAATTAAACCTATTAAATCCTATTAAATTGTTAGACACGGTTCGTTGGACTGAACGCGATGGAGTCGACAAACGGGACAGTACCGTTGCGCGAATGTTTCGATGATCCGACTCGTCAACGACGACGAGCATTGCTCCATCCCTGTGAGCCACCAGGACAGGATTTCTCGCCGGCTGGCCAGACGATCGCACCACCGTCCCAACGCGTCGAGCCTCATCTTCGTCGACCTCGATTGCCTCGACGTTACCGAGTCGATCGCAGATAAGCAGTGTCCCGTCGGAGGTCCAGGAAACGGAGACTGGTTCACGATCCGAGATACCGCTCGTTTCGATAGGAAACAATCGCACGAACTTGCAGCAGCTTAGGACGCGGAAAATCGCTAGGTCTGTTGCTGCGGTATCGTCCGACGAAAGCTTCCGCGCCATCAGCAGCGGCGAATCCGACGAGCATCTACGGAGACATGGGATTAGCGATGGAACCGATACTGATATTATTGATGAAATTCGGTCAATTTGATAGAAAAATACTTAATAACAGGTGTCGATATGTATCGAAATTTTAGGCACTTAGTATCTCTTGTCGATACCGAGATTTCTTAAAACAAGCAAATTGAATGAAAAGTAAGTCCAATAATGTGGCTGCAATGACTGGGCACAGTCGGTTATAACATTATTTTACCAGTTTCCTATATCTTATTTAATAACTTGGATATTCCTTAATGCATAACAAAACCACTGTAACTGAATAATCTGAGATAAGTAGGTAAGAGAGGTTCACACAATAATTGTCGTTGTAAATACAATAGCAATACCAAAGTATTGCAGCAGTTCTCGGTCTTTCCTATACTCATTTGATGCTTCATCGAATCATCTTAATAAACGTAGTTAAGTTTTCTTAATTAAACAAAATAGTTGTAAAAATGATTACCGTAGAAACAATTCTCATCGATTTTATTGATTCTTATTTCCTTGTGTGTTGTATTAGTATTAATACTAAGCGTACCGGCACCGGCATTTTTGTAGCAGTAGTCAAGTATCGGTGTTTTAGAGTAAGTATTGAAAATACTCTTTGTGATACCTACATCTTTGATACAATTCACAAGGGTGAGCGGAAGTTAAAATTCACAATAGTGGAAATCGCTTTTAAAACAGTAGTAGGTGCAAGTTATAGTACATACCTAGTTGTTTTGCTTTGTTTCCCGTGGTTGTATAGAACAGAATTACATTGTTTTACGTTGTTATACATTTTTTTACGTTGTTTTATATTGTTTTACATTGTTTTACCTTGCTTTACGTTGTTTTACGTTGTCTCGCGTTATTGTTTAAAACAGTATTACGTTGCTGTAGGTTGTTATTCATTGTCTTTACTTTGTTTTATATTGTTTTACATTGCCTAGTGTAAAAAAGACTCTAATATGTTTACACACCTAGTTAATGAATTATTTAACAATCTATAGCAAAACAAGTTGTGAGTAAGTCGATAAGACGGTTGATTAGAAAGCTGTTGCAGGTGGTAGTCCGAATCCTCGCTGTTGTTACTATTTTCTTCTTTATTTTTTAAATACAACTTTAAAATGAAAAAATATTTTATTTATTTTTGCATTTAACGTTAATCTTATATGACATCAATATTAATGGTAAAACAAAAAACATAAATTTTACTTGTTCTGCTAAAGACTGCTAAGTAATAATTCATTTACTAGGTGAGTACAAAATTCTAAACCAATATATCTGAAACACGAAAGCCCATTGTGAAGTAACGGGTTACGGTTTCTTGATACTAACTAAAACAATGATTCAAAATAGCATTAGTAGATTTAAGGTTGTAATTTCGAAATTTTATAAACTTGTATTGCTTGTTTATAAAGATTTAATTAAAATTCATAGTTTATAGACGAATTGCTTTAAATTTAAATATATTTTAACGAATTGTAAGAGGATTCAATTAGAGGAATTAAATTTGAATTAAATTTAACGTTAGAATTTTGAATTTAAGTAATTTTTTAGTTGATCAAGACAAGTTCATAGTAACTCGTACCTATTACCGTTTCAAAAGCGATTTCTACTATCGTAGGGTCCCCTTGTCAATATTGGATCGAAATTTGTCAACTGGTATCGATAGATATCGGATGCGGTATCAGTTTCAACGCTACACGAGACAGAGTAAGTATCGATCACGGTTCGATCGGGCACTCACGCGAAGGTTGCGCACAGATCTGCAGCGGGATCCATTGCGAAGGTCCCAGGATCGGTCGTCGCGAGTCGTTCGCCCGTTCTCCAGTGCCACAAGATCGTCCGAAAATCGGGGTAGATGGTTTGGCCGAGCAGATATTCGGTGCCAACGAACGCGCAGCACGCGTACCCGTTGGCCTCCTGGCTGTTCGCGCATCTCGCCACTTGTCGCAACGACGGGTACGCGAATACCGTGATCCTGGGATTCGACTTCCTCTCGACCAGGGAGAAAATCGGCGCCACCGATAGTCCGGCGACGCAGGATGCACCGTCTCCCCTCTGGCGGCCCTCGAACCTCTCGATCCGCGTCTCTCCGCTGTTCCAGTCGTAGAATCGCGCATAGACACCCGAGACCGTGACCATGGCGTTTCTTCCGACGAACGCAAAGTCCCGAGCTTTTCCGAACTTGATCCATCTGTGGAAAATACGAGAACTATAACTAGTGGGAAAACTAGTGGGAACGCATTGATATCATCTATATCAGGGGTGTCAAACTCAAAAGCTAACTTGGGCCAAATAAACAATGCTTAACTTTAGGTGGGCCGCAAAAAAAATCAATGTTCATAGAAACAAATATTTTTATTTTGACTAGTGCATTATAATAATAATATAAATAAAGTTAAATTATTGTTCACGTCCTGATATTTGACATCTCTTCTCTGATACTATCTTTGCTATTTCGGGAGAAATTTTATTGGCCGAGACTACTTTCAAGATTTCTAATTCACATTTCTATTTTATTTTTACTTTGCGTCGGATATATTGACTGGGCCGCAAAAATGTTCATCTCGGGCCGCGAGTTTGACACTCCTGATCTATATCATATCTTTCATGCTCGCGAGATTCGCCGTAGTTTTTTCGCTGAATACGTACGGTGATGCGCATAATTGTCTGAAACGGCAGTTAAAGTAAGTGTACACTATTTAAACGAAAGTAACTGTGACCTAACAATGTAAAGAAACAACAATAACCTTGACAAGAATAACAAGAAATGAGTAATAATAAGTAAGAATACTTCGATGTAACCAGGATTCGCAGTAGCGATAATACACTGTCCTTATTGCGAACACGATAGAGAGACACAATACGTGCTTGCCTCGAAATGGAACGTTACGGTTACGACCAGGCGAGAGCAGGATGTTTGTCACTCGATCTCCTGTGCGACTAAGGAATTGGTGTAATTGAGTGATGCGCTCACTCAGAGATGGCAGGTCCTGTCTCTCCTAGTCGCATCGCGTCTGGCCGAACTTCACACGATCTGGTCTGTTTGTGTTTGCGCCAAAGTCGACGGCGACCTCCGTCATTGTCCACCGATCCGCTTGGTCAATCTCCCGAACAATAATTGAGCCAAATCGATTAACTCCACTTTTGAAATATTTTAAATTTAACTGTCGAAGCACTTGGTTCAGTCATAACCTTTTTTATGTATAATAGATTTGCCACATGAGCCGTTTATTTTGAAAGTGACATAAGTCACTTTGTTTTTAAGTCGATATATTTAAGGGTTTGCATTTTAACACGTTAAAAATATGGATGCTAACTTTCGAGAAGATTTACTTGTATTTGTTATCTCAGGATACTGATATTTTTCTCAGCATAAATAATTTCGTATAAACATTAAAAAATCACCACTTTTCATTACGGTAAAGTGACTTAAGCCACTTTCAAAATAAATAGTTTAGAAAAATGACTGACATATATTAATTTTGTCCGACGTATTTGACCGAAGTGATGTTTTGAAAGGACAGTGATTTACTAAAATTGTTGAATAAATTACATATATAATAATAATTTATACCATGAACATATTTAATATAAAGGTTTGATTTAAGTACTTTTTATTTTAATATTCATAAAATACAAAAATAATTAGTACATTTTGAAACATAAATATAAGTAATTTAATTAATTTTCGTCATCAATAGGAGTGATTAAGTCCTCGGAAATCGTGTTTTGTTTCAAATTTTTTAAATAACTGTGGTATATTGGGGGTATATAATTAAGCAGGTCGATCATGTCTTTGTATTTTGCTGAAGAAACAGGACGAGATCCACAGCGTATAACATAATATAATTTATAATATGATATATAATATATATAATATAATATAATTTACAAAAGTGCACTATTCTTTCGCACTTATAAAAATAAGTCCAGTGATCACAACTTTTTTTAAAATACTGAAAATAATTCAAAACAATACTTCACACACACTTATCACACGTTTCTATTTCTTTTACACTAAGCCCCGTAATTAATTTCCTGAGTACAGCGACTTACGCCACTTTCAAAATAAACATGTTTGTCATACCGTTAATTAGCAAAACTTCTCTCGAACAAACCTCAATAGTTCTCAACTTATTGATTGCAAATTTTTTTTTAAATGAAAAGATACCGTTCAATTGTAATTAGTGTTACCATTAACTCGATTTTTTTGAAAAAGTGACTTATGCCACTTACAAATAAAAATTTGTTTGGTCGCCGAATAATAAATAATTTATTTCTTGGTGAACAATTACACCAAAGCTATACTATCTCAGTCATTCTACATGTCTTTATATGAAAGCTACGTCTATAGGGCTTCCGGGAAATGAGCAGTTCCTGAGGTTATTTGAAGTAACATTTTCCTCAACGAAATTGCAATCCGCGGCTTCGTTTGTGAGTTAGCGAGAAACAGTGATCAATGAGAGGTGAGATCGGCTGGCGCGGGAGGGCCGAGCCAATGAGCGGAACTGAGCTTTATCCACTCGTTGGATCGGCCGCTTTGCACCAGTCAAGCTCGTCTCTCATTGGTCAGTGTTTCTTTGTTAATAACTCGTGAACGATGCCTCGGAGAAAATTTTTGTAAAGGAGAAAGTTACCTAGAATGACCATAGGAACCCCTCATTTCTCGTAAGTACCATAATTTTGGGACACCCAGTATATACATATATGCATTATACAATATTTATTTCAATTTTTATTTTAAAGGGAACATTGAAGAATAATATATGTATATTATTTCATCACATTTTTCCACTTTCTGTTTTATGGAGTTAATCGATTTGGCAAATGAACGGCGCAATTATAGACTCAAAGTAACTTTTACATTGTTACTGATATCCAAACGCAAACTTGACAAAATATTATATTCATATATTTCTATTTTCTATTATTTCTAATATAGAAATACGACATTTTGTTAAGCTTTTTTTAAATGTGTAGAATGACTCAGCTAAAAGAGATCACCTACAATGTTACGAATAATTATAAACTCAAAGTAACTTTTACATTTTTGCAGATATTTAAACCAAGACAAAAAGCTATATTTGTATATTTCCATATTAGAAATAATAGTAATTAGAAACATACAAATGTGATATATCGTTAAGTTTTTGTTTAAATATCACTAAAGGCGTAAGAGTTACTTTGAATCTACAGGGTGTCTCAAAAATGTCTCGGAATCCGAGAATGGCAAATGAAAATGATCTCCGAGGCACCGTTAACGAGTTATTAATGGAAAACAGTGGCCAATGTGGGGCGAGCTCGGCTGGCGCTAGGCGACCGAGCCAATGAGCGGAACTAGGCTTCGTGCGCCGGTTGGCTGGGCCGCCTCGCGTCAGTCGTACTCGATTCTTATTGGTCACTGTTTTTCGTTAATAACTCGTTAACGGTACCTCGGAGAAAATTTTTATAAAGGAAGAAACTGCTTCAAATGATCCGAGAAACCCGCCATTTCCGGATTGCGAGACATTTTTGGGGCACCCTGTATAATTATTCACGCCACTGTATTTATTTGTTATTTTCTTATTTATTTATAACCGGGAAACCCCGTTAAAGTACAAATAGAAGGTACTAGTGGAAAAAGTATCAATTTCGACACAATAGTCATTTGCTAGGATATTAATCCTTGATATTGGATTGACCTCTGTTCCGAGACTACTTTTGGGCGAAACGTCCTTACTATCCTCACTACTTATGATTAATTGGTAATTAACCATTGTATACTAAAGAATTTTTTATCGGTAAATAAATAAATAAATACATAAATAAGTAAATACGTAAATAAATATATAAATAAGTAAATATGTAAATAAATATATAAATACATAAATGAATACATAAATAATTACATAAATAAATATATAAGTACATAAATAACATATAAATACATAAATAAATTTTCGTTGGATTGCATACGTACAGTGTCTCGACGTTGGCGTACCGCATGACTTTTCGACGATCCTAACCGTTCAAAGGGTTCGCCGACAACACGAAAGGGTTGCCCGGATACCTGAAGTCGATCGATCCAATAGCGACTACCAAAAATGTGACGCAGCATAGTGGTTCAGGAGCGCACAAACTCCTCTTTTCACAATGTTGGAAATGTATGTTATTTAATGTAATTTTAAACAAATAGATCAACAAACATTTAATACTATTCCGTATAGTTTTATTGCTCTTTAAAAGATAAAGTACTGTATTTTTAATACCAAAGTTAACTTAAAACGAACCTGCGTTCTGCACCTGTAATGAAACGCCGACTTCGATGTTTATTTGTACTTTATAAATAAACGCTAACGCAATGAACATTCTTGTTTGTTGTAGCGATACGTTTTACGATAATGATTGCTATAAATATTTTCACAAAGGCATCATAATTACGTAGCAGGCTACCGATTTAGTAAATCACCGAAAAATAAAGATTCATTAGAATTTCGTTAGAACAAAACGATGCTCCCCTTCTGTTCTCCGCTTTCAGTATTACTTTAAACAATGCATTGCAATGTAGTCAATGACACATGATTAAGATTAGGCGCGGTAGCTTGCGGTTATGTTCAATTGAACCTATTAGCTTATCACATTCTCTACTAACGAAAATACAATCGTCAACTAGCTCTTTACTTAATGAACTTAAGCGAGTGTTGTTTGTTAATTAATGTGGCCACATCGAATATATAATAGTTGAAAAGAAATAAAAAACAATAAAAATGAAAAAACTATGCTACAGTAACGTTTCATTAGAATTGCGCTGGACGCATAAACGTGAATAGAAGAACTAGAAAGCAGATAAAACCTGACAATGAAGAAAGAAGAAAAGCAATAAAAGGCCGCATACAATTTGAACCCACTGTTTCATTCCGTTCGAGCGTTTCCCTTTCGTCGCGGCCAATTTTCACGACCGCGTTGAATGCCAATCGAATGAAGGATTGCCGAGAGAATGCGAACAAAGAGGCTCAGTAGGTCAACGGATCGTGGCGATCGTAGGAGGGTTCGATGAATCGTGCGACCGTTATCGCGAACCTCGTGCAACGCATAGCAATGGGGCGATGGCAATCTCCGCGATCCCGCGGGCGGAATTCCGTTCGTCAGCGGCGGACAATACCCGCGACAAAATCGACGGAATTCGCGAAAGGCCGGCGCCTGGGAGAAACTGTATCCGCGTAAGAAAGGAAAATTGCTTCCGTTGCGACGCGAAAGAGAAGAGAGCACGCTCGGTTCGTCCGATAGCGGGTGACCGGGTGAAAAGGAAGCTCGGATATAGGCCGAGGTACACCGCTACTCGATTAATATGCCGAGGACGCGTCCGAGGGGAGCAGCGAACGAGCGTTTTCTTGCTCGACGGTTCGGCGTCGTCCAAAAACTCAGAACGTCGAGGATCGCTCGATTGCTCGGAACGAGAACAGCGATCGGTTATCCAGTGTTCGTTGGGGGATCGGTGGTCGACGGGAATTAGATTCTATCAGAGAGGATGATGGTGTCGGCCGGCAAGGATTCGCGGGTTTTTCGCGCATGTGGCGCGTTGCTGATCGTTTTCGGGCTTGCGAGCGGCAGCGATCTCGCGCAGAGCCCCTCGCCGTCGATCGAGTACAAGGAAGGGAACGCGACCGTGGTCAAGTTGGAGAAGACGATCGGGACGGTGATCGACGAAGGGAAACAGCCCCTTGCGAGGGACGTTGTAACGTCGGCGCCGACGATCGCGTCGAAATCGGTCAAGGGCGTCGGTTGGAAAATCGGTCGGGCGAGCTCGCATCGAGACAGCTATTTGGAGGCGTTGAGCCATTCTCGCACCAGCTCGGATCCTCGAGAGGGTGTCGTGTCGGCGGACGGAACGGGACCTGCTCAGCGCAGGAAGGAGTACGCGGGTCCCGTTTACACGGGTAAGGATTCCGAAATCGGTGCGACCCATCCACGGATCGTTTACGGTTCGCCGGACCGGGACACCTTCTCGATGGTGCCCAGCAATTCGTACAGCCTTCCCACCAGAGGATCCGCGGACTTCGCCGGGTTCCAAAACGCTTACGGGCAATCGCAATCGTACCCGCAATCGTACCCGCAATCGCAACCACCCCGAGCAACCTACGGCGCACCGAGCCACAGCTACCCTCCGACGTCCTACGAATACTTGCCGCCGCAGCAAGGTGAGGGAAGAGGTATCGTATCGCGATCGCGTTCTACGTACAATAGAAGTCCGATTAACACTGTCCGACAAAAGCAAACTTTTTTTCTGGGTTCCTATAGCCACTATGAAATTCTTGTAGAGCTTCACTCCCTGAACAAGAATCCGAAAACCGAATTGCTCCATCACCCTCAGTTTTTTAAATAAACGAACTTTTGTAAAAACCCAAAATTTTCGACAACAATGAGGTATTGCATAAAAAGTACAAACGTTAGAAAGTTATAATTGGTGTTAAAAGATAGAGGAGAGTTTCCCGAATATAGTGGCATGCAATTTATTAATTGTTTTTGGTCCTAAATAGCAATAAATTGATGTCAAAGTTTAAAAAAGTGTCGACGTGAGCAGTTTCTGCGCAATATTTTTGTATTTTTACGAAAAGTTTTTTGTTCGGCACGAAAACTCTACCCAGGATCGGATTCTGTAGACATTTCTGAAGAAGAAACGGCCCGATAGAAGTGTCGGAACGATGTACATTTTGAGTAGGTCGAGAAAATGTTCGTCGGCAACATGTACACGACGTTTTGCCGCCATGTGCTTCGCTGCTCGCTTCTCTCTGTCCGACAGGGCCGAAGCTATGGGTAATCAACACCGATGGAGGGATCCAATGGGGCACCCAATTAGCGTGTGGGGCGTGCCATTATTTTTAGTATTTCAATGTGCTGTCTTCTGTTACATATTTTTATGGATAATAATCACCAAACTGTGAATCATAAATTAAAAATTGTGAAATAATAAAAGAGAGAAAAATAATGAACAAAAAATATTCATTTTATTCTGAATTTGTACGAATTACAAGTATATCATGTATACAGTTATCATTTAAATTATAACGATAATACGATTATGAATAAATAATCATTTTCAAAACGTTAAACTTCTTGAAACATATCGTTAAATATATATTTAAATATTTATTTAATTATATGGCGTAGAAGTCAAAATTATACTAGTGTTAGAATACTCTCTCTTTCGCGTTACCAACTCCAAATACTTTGGTGTGATTTTTTCGTGAAATATATCACAGTTTGGTGATTATTATCCACAGAAATATGTAAAAAAAAAACAGAACATTGAAGTACTAAAAAAAAATGGTGCGCCCCACACGCTAATTGGGTGCCCCATTGGATCCCTCCATCGGTGTTGATTACCCATAGCCTCGGCCCTGTCGGGCAGAAAGAAGCGAGCAGCGAAGCACATGGCGGCAAAACATCGTGTACATGTGCCGACGAACATTTTCTCGATCTACTCAAAATGTACATCGTCCCGACACTTCTATCGGACTGTTTCTTCTTCAGAAATGTCTACAGAATCTGATTCTGGGTAGAGTTTTCGTGCTGAACAAAAAACTTTTCGTAAAAATACAAAAATATTGCGGAGAAACTACGCACGTCGACACTTTTTTAAACTTTGACATCAATTTATTGCTATTTAGGAATAAAAACAATTAATAAATTGCATGCCACTATATTCGGAAAACTCTCCTCTATCTTTTAACACTAATTATAACTTTCTAACGTTTGTACTTTTTATGCAATACCTCATTGTTGTCGAAAATTTTGGGTTTTTACAAATGTTCGTTTATTTCAAAAACTGAGGGTGATGGAGCAATTCGGTTTTCGGATTCTTGTTCAGGGAGTGAAGCTCTACAAGAATTTCATAGTGGCTATAGGAACTCAAAAATCGTGTCGGACAGTGTTATGTTGTCAATGTGGAGAAAATTCAATGTTAAAATATCTTAACGGGAAAGCCCCCCCCCCCCAAAAAAAGTAATTCTGTGGGTTAATTAGTTACCAAAATTAGATTACTAGTAGACTGTTTTATGCATCTATGACAAAAATTAGTAGAATAAATATGAAACGGTGAAAAGATTCAAGAAATTTTAATATGTCGACGCATTATGCAGGATTTATTAAGATTGTTCATGAAAGAAAGAAGCTTTTATCTGGCTGTTGCTTCCTCACGATTGTTGCAAACAATTTTTATTTTGCATAATTATTTTCAATTTGAAATCTCTCTGTATCAAAGTACATTCGTTTAACTTGAATTTGTATCGCTAAACGACCGAAAATTCCTACAAGAACACATTCTAACATCGATTCAAAATTATCCTTCAAGATCCAGTCATCTTTTTTCACAGTTAACGATCGGGATTCATTGATTTTTCGACATGATCCCGAATTTCTTTTTTACTTTTACCACTGAAAAACCTAGAAGAAATTTCTGACAACTATCCTACAATCATTTTTCGCATATTAGAGTCTTAATCAATTAATTACAAGCGTTTTCCAGTTTTAGCTTCCAATATTGAATTTCAGAGCAGATGATTTGTGCCGCTTTTCCCATAAGTAGCAATATAAAATTCGGTACAAATTTTCTGCTGTCTTCAAACATCTGAATAGCGTCAATCCATGTAGTGGTAAAACGCTCAAACTGTTCAATGAATTACCGACAGATGGTTTCAAGTCGGTAACCATGGTGACGCGCAAGATAAATTCCTAGATTATAACAAAATTAGGGCATAAAAAATTAAACGGAGGGTTCGGAATTGTTTAGAAGAATCTACTGCATCGGTATCATATTAGAAAAGTAAATTACAACATTGCTGAACATAGTTACTCGCTCTTTGAAGTTTAGTTAACTGTAATTGTAATTAATTATATTTTTCATTGTCGTTTGTTCTTTTTTACGCGATATCGATACCATAGATTCTTCTAAATAGATCTGTGGCCATTTTTTACTTTTTGATTGCCTAATTTTGTCATAATTAATGTTTTTAAGCAGCTTTGCATTGTGCCCACATGGACGATTGTGGCGCATCTTGCGGAGAAAAAGAAAAGCTTACTTCGAGGACCGTGCAACGCCAATTGGAGCTGTGGTAAAAACTGTTAGCCGAAATCGACTGTCGCTAATTTGGTTAAATGTTTGAGTAAACCTCTAAAAACTAATATACGTATATGTGTTTTTTTTATGTGCGTGTAGTAACAGTGTATTGAGAGCCCCACTCTTAAGGAGCTAGGGTAGTCACATGACTTTACGGATTCAATAAGTTGGCATCTGCTGTACAAATTTCATTACATAAATGGTATTATCTAGAGATGTGTACTTGCTTGATAAATACAAGATGGAGTCACCGGCGTTTTATTAGAGAAACTCAATTCAAACAGAAATATTCAAATAGAAATGCGGTGACATTTTCTTATAACTTTTAAACCATTGAAGGTATTGCAAAGAAATTTTTACTAACAATATTTAAAAAATAATCATTCTTAACTTTCGATAATTAAATATTTGTTGCATTTGTTAAGCAATAATTTTCAATTAATTTCGATTGATATTTTTGATAGAAAGGTTATTTAAATATAATTTTACGAACTTTCTTTTTCTTTCTAAATGTGTATTTTATATGTATGTAAAATATAAAAGCGAATAATCTTTTTGTAATCAACGCATACAAAAATGACCGAAAAGCTAAATACGCATCTCAAGCGTGCAAACACATATTTTTATAATTATTTATAATAATTGTAATTTTTTCAGCGGTGCGGATTGTGGAATACAATGCCGTTTTTTAATATCTTTTTAACCGCAACAGATATTGACACGTGATTTGATCACAATAACACACAAATGTTATGTGACAAACAGGTTTGAAAAATCATAAAAAATTATATTAAAAATATATAAATTATTATTATTATTATTATTATTATTATTATTATTATTATTATTATTACACAATTTGTCTAAGTTCTCAATTATCTTCGTGAATACTTTTATTCGTATGCTAGATGCGAAAGGATCAGAATAATTCTGAGATGTCCAAATGTGAACAGACATTAGAGAGTCGAAAATTGTTTATCTGTACCATACTATAAACATACGTGGTGCCAGTAACCTCTCTCTTCTCTCCTCGCAGCCTTTTCTATGTCTCTCGTTTTCCCCACTTTTCATTTGCACTCTTGCTATACTTCACCCTTTGCTCTCATTGTGCTCGCCTCCGTGTATCTCGCTTTTCCCCCGCTCTCTCACTCCTCCCTTCCTCCCTCATCATTCCACTTCCGCTGATTCATCCTTCCTCATTTGCCCACCGTTTCCGCTGTTTTCCACAATAACCCTCCCTTCTTCTCTCACCTTCACCCACATTTCTTTTCCTTTTTTCATTTAACTTAACCATCCATCTCTTTCCTCTACCATCCTCATTTAACCCTTTGCACTCCGCTGTCCCCTCTCGTGGGACATCGTAATTCTAGCATATCGGGAATATAGATAGATTACGGGGAATTGAGTTATTTCAGCGCAACTTTTTGAGACATGCATGTTTCCCTGAAGTTTTCTCTTGAAATGGCACAAGAAATCAAATCAAAATATAGTAAAATTACTAAGATATATACAAGAAATGTCAGCGGGTTTTGACGAGAACGTGAGAGGCGTGCTCAGGACGGCCGAGCATTTCAAAGGCGCCATTTGAAAAGAGCGATAAGGCAAGTTTTTAGAAGAAAGGTCGGTATGCGAACATAACACGCACTGTATAATGCTGTCTCTTATACACATCTAGATGTGTATAAGAGCCAGCCTTTGAAATGCTCGGCCGTCCTGAGCCTGTCTCTTATACACATCTAGATGTGTATAAGAGCCAGCCTTTGAAATGCTCGGCCGTCCTGAGCCTGTCTCTTATACACATCTAGATGTGTATAAGAGCCAGCCTTTGAAATGCTCGGCCGTCCTGAGCCTGTCTCTTATACACATCTAGATGTGTATAAGAGCCAGCCTTTGAAATGCTCGGCCGTCCTGAGCCTGTCTCTTATACACATCTAGATGTGTATAAGAGCCAGCCTTTGAAATGCTCGGCCGTCCTGAGCCTGTCTCTTATACACATCTAGATGTGTATAAGAGCCAGCCTTTGAAATGCTCGGCCGTCCTGAGCCTGTCTCTTATACACATCTAGATGTGTATAAGAGCCAGCCTTTGAAATGC